TGTAATCTCTTTTTTTATACTTTGTTCTCTCTCTTTCTCTCGTTATTCTCTATCTCCGTCTTTCGAACTATGCTACTCGATTATCCGTTTATCCCTCTTTCTCCTTTCTTACATTTCTCAATTCCTTCTGTCTTGCTCTTTCTGTGTTTTGATTTATTCCCCTTTTCCTTATTTGGTTTATATGTCTTTGTGTTTTATCTTTATTATTCGATTCTTTTCGTGTTCCTCTTTCTCTTCTTTCGTTCTTTTTTTTCTTTGTTGCTTCTTCCTTTTTCTTTTTCATTACTGTATTTCTTCTTCTTTTGTAGGTTCTTTTCACATTATCTCTCCTCTTCCTCCTTCGTTTCTCCATTCTCCTCCTTATCCCCTCTTCACTCCTCCTCTTCTTCCTTCTTTATTCCATTCCCCCTTCTCCTTTATTCGCTTTAGCTCTCCTCCTCCTTTTCTCCCTTTTTAATCGATTTTCCCATCTCCTCTTTTCTCTCTTCTTTTCTCTTTTTTTTCTTCTGTTTCCCTTCTTCCCCCTATTTGCCCTTACCTCTCCTCGTCCTCCTCCTGTTTATCCTTCTTTCCCGTCTTCCTCCTCCTCCTCTTTCATCCATTTCATCCACTACTCCTTCCTTCTTTATCCCTGTTCTCCACATCCCCTCCTTCCCCACTCTTTCTCTCCCTCACTCCCTCTTCCTCTCCTCCCCTTCCCCTTCTTCGTTCCCCTCCTCCCCCTCCCTCCCTCTTCCTCTCCTCCCCCTCTCCTTCCTACTTACCCTCCTCCCCCCCCCTCTTCCCCTCCTCCCTCTCCCCTTCCTTCTATCCCTCCTCCCCTCTCCCTCCCTCTTCCCTTCCTCCCTCTCCCCTTCCTTCTTTCCCCTCCTCCCCCCTCCCCTTCCCCTCCTCCCTCTCCCCTTCCCCTCCTCCCCCTCCCCTTCCTTCTTTCCCCTCCTCCCCCTCTCCCTCCCTCTTCCCTTCCTCCCGCTCCCCTTCCTTCTTTCCCCTCCTCCCCTCCCCCTCCTTCCTTCCTCCCCCTCCCCCTCCTCCCCCCACTTTGCACCTCCGCCCGCAACGCTTCCATAGCTCATATTTTCCACGAATTTAGCCTCTCGGAGCGCTCGGTCTGTTCCAGCTCCTACGCATAACACGGCCCATGTGGATTTGGCCCCTCGCTGAAGGCCCTTTCTCTCTCTCTCTCTCTCTCTCTCTCTCTCTCTCTCTCTCTCTCTCTCTCTCTCTTTATTATTTCTCTTTCGCTCTCTCTCTCTCTCTCTCTCTCTCTCTCTCTCTCTCTCTCTCTCTCTCCTCTCTCTCTCTCTCTCTCTCTCTCTCTCTCTTTATTATTTCTCTTTCGCTCTCTCTCTCTCTCTCTCTTTATCATTTCTCTTTCTCTCTCTCTCTCTCTCTCTCTCTCTCTCTCTCTCTCTCTCTCTCTCTCTCTCTCTCTCTCTCTCTCTCTCTCTCTCTCTCTCTCTCGCTTTCTATTATTTCTCTTTCTCTCTCTCTCTCTCTCTCTCTCTCTCTCTCTCTCTCTCTCTCTCTCTCTCTCTCTCTCTCTCTCTCTCTCTCTCTCTCTCTCTCTCTTTCTTTCTCTCTCTCTCTTTCTCTCTCTCTCTCTCTGTCTTTCTCTCTCTCTCTGTCTTTTTTTCTCTCTCTCTTTCTCTCTCTCTCTCTCTCTCTCTCTCTCTCTCTCTCTCTCTCTCTCTCTCTCTCTCTCTCTCTCTCTCTTTCTCTCTCTATATATCTATCTCTGATCCTCTCCTATTTTCTGGATTTTTAAATTCTATCTTTTTATTGTTTTTTTCTCTTTTTTTTATCTTTAACATTTTCCCCATCTCTTCGTCTTCTTTATCTTTCGTATCCTTTCGTAACTCCTTACTCCTCATCTTCATTCTTCCCTTTTTCCCTCCTAATTCTTCCCTCTTCCCTATTCCCTCTTCCCTCCTTCCCTCCTTCCCTCTTCTCTCTTCCCTCCTTCCTTCCTCCTCTCTTCCCTCTTCCCCTTCTCCCTCCTTCCTTCTCCTCCTCCTCTCCTCCCCTCCTCCCCTCTTCCCTCTTCCCCTTCTCCCTCTTCCCTCCTCCCTCCTCCCCTCTTCCCTCTTCCCTCCTCCCCTCTTCCCTCTTCTCCTTCTCCCTCTTCCCTCCTCCCTCCTCCCCTCTTCCCTCTTCCCTCCTCCCCTCTTCCCTCTTCTCCTTCTCCCTCTTCCCTCTTCCCTCCTCCCCTCTTCCCTCTTCTCCTTCTCCCTCTTCCCTCCTCCCTCCACCTTCCTTCCTCTCTTCCTCCTCTCTCTACTTTGCATACAGGAAGTTGAAGTCATTACGTGCCTTCCATTCGGCAGAGCTGTGCAACATTTATTACCCTTCCTCCCCCTACCACCCCCGCCCACGCACGCCCACTTTCCCCGCCCACACAACCCCCCGGAGCCCGATAGATGGCACTTTGCAACGAGTGCCAGAATTCATCGGCACCTTCGCCCGCTTTTGTAATTGTCGGTGCCTCTTCCTTGGTCGGGGGTGGGGTGGGGTGTGGGGGGGTGGGGGCGTGGTCTCCCTCTGGTATCCTGCTTCTCTTCCTTTCCTTGCCCCCCCCCCCCCGCCCCCTTTCTCTTTCCTTCTCCTTCTTCACTTATACCCTTCCCCCCCCCTTTTCCTTTCGTCTTTCTCCCTTACTTCTTCCTGCTCCTCCTCTTTTCCTTCTTCTCTTCCTACTTTCTTTCTCTTCCTTTACCTTCACTTCTCCTCTGTCCTTCATCCTCCTTCCTTATCTCTTCCTTCTTCTTCCTTTTTCCTTCTTCTTCTCCTCTATCCTACGTCCTCTCTTACCCCTTCCTCCTCCTCTTCTCCTTTCCCCTTCTCTCCTTCCATCCCCCTCCATCTCTCCCCTTCATCTTCCCTCCGTTCTCCGTCCCTCTTCCATCTCCCATTCCATTCCTCCTTCCCTTTCATCCCTTTCTATTTCTTTATCTCCCTTTCGTCATCCATGTTCCTCTTCTCTTACCACTCCCCCCCCTCTCCCCTGCCATCCCCCTTCCCCTCCTCTGCCACTCCCTTCCCCTTCCCTCCAACCCCCCTCCCCTTCCCTCCACCCCCCCTCCCCGCCTTCCCTTCCCTTCCCCTTCCCTCAAATCACCCTCCCCTTCCCTCCACCCCCCCCTCCCCGCCTTCCCTTCCCTTCCCCTTCCCTCAAATCACCCTCCCCTTCCCTCCACTCACCCTCCCCGCCTTCCCTTCCCTTCCCCTTCCCTCCGTCCCTCTCCGCCCCCCTCCCCGCCTTCTCTTTCCCTTCCCCTTCCCTCCAATCACCCTCCCCGCCTTCCCTTCCATTCCCCTTCCCTGCCACCCCCTTCCCCATTCCTTTCCTTCCCTCCCCCCCCTCCCCCGCCTTCCCTTCCCTCCCCTCCCCCCCATACCCCCAGCCAATAACAGTAGTAGAAACAGTGCCACGGATGCCATCGAAGGGAAGGGGACGGACGCAGTGATCCTCCCCTCCCCCCTCCCCTCACCACCCCCTCCCCCCACCCCACCCCACCCCACCCCTTCACGAGCGAGCAGTGCCAGGGAAAGAGACGGTAATGAGCGAGGGCCATGAGGAGAGGGCCATGAGGAGTCATGAGGCTGCCATGCAACATTACCCCTTCAGGAAGCTGACACAGATCACACGTGCCTCGCGGTGTGTCATGGGGCCGAGAGGGGAGGAGGCACTGTCAAGGGCGGTGCGGAGGCTCGGGGGGGGGGGGGGGCTGTTGGTGCCTCCTGCTGTGCGTGCTGTTGTTGGGGTTGTTACTGTGCTGTTGTTGCTTTTGTTGTGTAGTTGTTGTGTTGTTGGTGGCAATGGTGATGTATGTTGTGGTGGTAATGATGGTGTTGTTAGTGGTTGTGGTGGTGTTGATGCAGCTGATGGCTGCGTATCATTATTATCATTATTATTATTATTATTATTATTACTATTAATATTATTATTATTATTATTATTATCGTTATTATTATTATCATTATTATCATTATTATAATTATTATCATTACTATTATTATTATTATTATTATTATTATCATTATTATTATTATTATTATTATTATTATTATTATTATTATTACCATTATCATTATTATTATTATTGATGTTGTTGTTATTATACTATTGTTATTATACTATTGAGGTTGTTGTCATTATAATATTATTATTATTATTGTTATTATTATTATCGTTGTTAATATCATCATTATCATTATCAATATTATTATTGTTGTTATTATTATTATTATTATTATTATTATTATTACTATTACTATTATCATTATTATTGTTATTATTATTATTATTATTATTATTATTATTATTATTATTATTATTATTGTTATTATTATTATTATTATTATTATTATTATTATTATTATTATCATCATCATCATTATTATTATTATTGTTATCATTAATTTGCTATCATTTCTTTTCATTTATTTTGCATTTTATTATTACATGTTGATTATTTGCCATTGCAAACACTTTTACGTTCCTCTCTCTCATTTTCCATATTCTAATTTTCGTTGCATTTCCTTTATATTCATTTTCTTTTCTTTTTCATTACTCACTTTTCTCTCTCTTTTCTTTCCTTACTCTTAAACCTTTCGTCTGCCTTCTCTCTTTCCTTTTCATCTTTTTATTGCCTTTTCTTTCTATTTACCTCAATTATTTCATCCATGTCATTATCTTGTTTGCAACACCTCAGTATCATAAAGCCTATTGGAATATACTGATAGATTCCAAGGGACTAATTGCAATTATATAGTCATTATCAATGTGCTCATTATCTGCCTCAATGTGAGACCCTAATTTCATCTAACAGGTGCCTTAACCCAATCTAAAATTATCCCATTATTAAATCAAAAAAAAAAAAAAAAAAAAAGGTCTTTTAATCATCCTCAATAAAATGATACTCTCGTAACCCCCAAGCAGATAAATCCTAATTATTATTTACACGCATTTCCCCCCCCCCACCCCCACCCCACCCCCCCTAATCTTTCTTAATCTGACTAATCCTAAAGACAATCATTACAATCACAATTTCGGGGGAAGATTGTGTTGATAAAGACGAACTTCTGAGTCGGGTGTTGATGACCTGGTTTGCTCCCTGGCTTGCTCTAGCTTGGGTCGGCTTGGGGTTTGGCGAAACTATCAAACGAATAGAGCAATTTGGTCACGTGCCAAGAGCAGCGGGTGGGGTGGGGGGTGTGGGGGGTGAAGATGACGGTGGGGTGGGGTGGGGGGTGTGGGGGGGTGATGATGAGGGTGGGGGTGAGTGGGTGAGGATGGGGGGGGGTGTAGGGGGAGAGGGGGGGGAGGGGGGAAGTTTGGGTGTGTGTGGGGGGGGAGGGGGAATCAGTAGGGAGGTTTGTGTATGTGTGTGTGGGGACGGGAATAGGGGGGGGTTGTGTGTGTGTGTGTGTATATATGAGCGTATGTGTAAGTATGTATTTCGGGTGGGGGGTGGGGAGTTGTGGGTAAAAGTGGGGAGAAATAAGAATTTTAGGAAAGGGTTAAGATTGATGGGGATTTCCATCGTGTGGGATCTGCGGATGGGGGGGGGGGGGTTGGAGTGTGAGAGGAGAGTTGCGGGCGTTGTGGGGTTGTGGGCGTGGGGTTGTGGGTGTGAGGTTAAGGACGTGTGCTTGTACGCGTGGGTTGTGGGCATGGGGTTGTGGGCGCGGAGTTGTAGCATGTGGTTGTAGGCGTAAGGTTTTAGGCATGTGGTTGTAGGCGTGGGGTTGTAGGTGTGGGGTTGTGGGCGTGGGGTTGTGTAGCTGTAGGCCTGGGGTTATGTAGCTGTAGGCGTGGGGTTGTAGGCGTGGGGTTGTGGGAGTTGAGTTACAGGCGTAAGGTTATGGGCGTGGAGTTGTAGGTGTGGGGTTTAGGGCGTGGGGTTGTGGGCGTGTAGCTATGGACGTGGAATTCAGTGGGTGTGGGGTTAACGTGTACATTCCTATAAATGTGTATAGATATGCAAATGAATAAAAAATTATTTAAATACACCCGCGTCCTTTTATATCCGTATCCACGTGTATATATGCGCGTGCGTACCCACGTAATAACTATGAACTTATATAAGTGTGTAAAAAAAACATTTTAAAGGGAAGAAAATTTAGTGTAAGAGTCAAAACCTGTTATAAACGAGCAAGAAAATGCGAAATGTTAATAAAGGTCAAAATCGTATGGAGCAAATATCAGTTATATTAATGAAAGTCATGGATTTGGCCATTTTATTTTTTTTCTATTTTTTTCCTTATGTTACTCTTGGTTGTTTTTCTCTCTATTCAGTCTGCTTCTCTCTCTCTCTCTCTCTCTCTCTCTCTCTCTCTCTCTCTCTCTCTCTCTCTCTCTCTCTCTCTCTCTCTCTCTCTCTCTCTCTCTCTCTCTCTCTCTCTCTCTCTCTCTCTCTCTCTCTCTCTCTCTCTCTATATATATATTTATTTATCCGACATTATATCTCTCGTTATTTTCTCTCCTTTTATCCATTTTTATCCTTTTCTCTTTCTTCCCCCTCTTTCCCTCTCGGTCTCGCATCCGCCATCCCCCCCCCCCCTTCTCTCCCCCATCTTCCAGCCTAGCAAGGATGATGAAAAGAGAATTATCCCTCTTCCTTCTTCCTTTTTCTTCTCTCCCCTTCGCTTTCCTCCTTTTCTGTTTCATTCCTCTCTCCCTCTCCTCTCTTCCATTTCTTTTATCTCTTCCTTTTGCTTATTTTACCCCCTCACTGTTCATTCTCCCTCTCCCTTTCTTCCTCCTCTTTCTCCTCCTCTTACTCATTCTCCTCCTCCTCTTCCTTCCCTTTCCTCCTCCTCTTCCTTCCCTTCTCTCCTCCTCTTCTTCCCTTCATTCTCCTCCTCCCTTTCCTCCTCCTTCTTCTCCCTCCTCCACCCCCTTTCCCGTCCTCCCCTTTTTCCTCCTCGTCTTTACCCTCCTCTTCCCCCCTCCTCTTCCTCCTCTCTACCCACCTTCCCTTCACTTCTCCTCCTCTTTGTCCTCCTCCACCTCTTCTTCCCTTAATTTCTCCCTCCTTCTCTTCCTCCTCCTCCTCCGTCTCTTCTTCCTTCCATTTCTCCTCTTTCCTTTCTTCCTCCTCCTTTTTCTCCTCCTCCATCGCCTCTTCTTCCTTCCATTTCTTCTCCTCCATTTCCTCCTCCTTTTTCTCCTCCTCCATCGCCTCTTCTTACTTCCATTTCTCCTCTTTCATTTCTTCCTCCTTCTCTTCCTCCTCCTCCTCCTCCATCGCCTCTTCTTCCTTCCATTTCTCCTCCTCCCTTTCTTCCTCCTCCTTTTTCTCCTCCTCTGTCTCTCTCTCTCTCCCAAGGAACAAGGAAGACACGAGACATCACTCTGACGAAAAGGGAGCGTCTTCTCCCGATTTCCTTTCCTTGCCAGAGGGAGGGAAAGTGGGGGGGCGAAGGGAGGGAGGGAAGGGAAGGAGATGGGAAGGAGGTAGGGAAGGAGGGAGGGAGGGAGGAAAGGGATATAGG